TTTATTTATTTCCTATTTATCTAATTTACTATTGTTTTTATGAAGAGGCTATTTTAACCTGGGTTACACCAACATGTACTAAACAGCCTCTCGGCTCAAACCATCTTGCTACAGGGCTTGGTAGATGTTGTGGCCAGGTGGCACTGACGGTTGATTGAAATTGTGAGCAGCAAGGGTCCTTGATGTAGCGCTGCTATTTTTTACTCTGATTTTTCCCACTCATGTTTTATTCAAACTCAGGATGCTTCAGTACAAGAAGGTCTGTTTGCTGCCAAGTACGGATGCCGGGTGCTTGGCTTCTGTGCTTCTGTCCGTCCCATCATCGTCTTCTTTAGTGCTGGTCAGGTGCTTTGTGACGAGGCGGAACGATTTGAAGCAGAAACTGAAAACTGGTAATACACATGACTTGCCTCTAATCATTGCCACTTTGTTCACCAGATTTGCAAATAGCATCCAGCGTCGCCATAAACAGCTAAAAGCATTACAAATTCAACTGGCTCCAGCTCAGCTGCGTAATCAGAAATTCCCTTTTCGTTTAAAAAAAAAAAAAAAAAAAAAAAAAAAAAAAAACATTCGACAGCTTGGATTGATGACTAGAGTCTGTTTGTACCCTAGACACTTGTAACTGTAATTTGTATTCCTATACCAGATATTTGATCTGACCGGATATATATACAAAACACAAGATTAGTTTGTGCATCAGCTAATTTTGTATGCGGTATTGTAGTGCTGGGTAACACAGAGTGCTATGAAACGATGACCTAACATGCATCTGGTGTGTATTGATTGTTTTCTTTTAGGCAGCCAAGCTCACTCTATGATGGGACTGCAACAGAAGTAGTGAAGGAGGGAGAGGTGGGTGGTGAATAAGAGGAGTTTAGCTTTTTTTTTTTTTTTTTTTTTTTTCCCCCCCCTTGTTGTGGCTGCATTACAATAAGCACACATGTGACACATTCCTGGTTTATGTCTTTCTCTGCATTTGTTTCATATCAACAATTTGCTCCGATCAGAAATTGGAATAAAAGGTATCCATGTAGCACACACGCATGCTTATACAAATTCCTGTAGTACGCCGTGCTGTTTTATCTCTACAACATCCCCAAAGCAGTCAAGTCTGGGTTGGGACTTTGCCTCATTGTATGCAGTTCAGCATTAGCATATTATAAATGAGGGAGCTCCAGCTTCTGACACATACCCCCTCATGTTCCAGATGTTTAGAACAGCTGGTACACAAACAAACAGACGCTAAATATGGTCCCTTTAATAATTCAGATGAGAATAGAAAGTTATGAACAGAAGCTATGTCTCGTTTTCATGGACACTATATGATACGTTTTGCTCGGTGATTCATTTTCAAAGGTAATTTGTAAAATATTGTTTTTTTTGTTGTTTTTTCCCCCCCCCACATCTACTGTTTAATGCCATCGCAATGTTGTTCAATTTTCTGGGAAAGTGTTTTGCATCTGTTATTGTTTG